TAATTTCATGATAATTTAGTAATATAACAAAGAATATAAAAAGAATATTTCTTGTTATATGAATAAATTCAATTATCGTGAGTCACACAATTTTCGGTGCTGATGTATTTATCACTGTCTGACAAATTTTTCACACTTTTTTTCATTGCGTCCTTGCCTAGGCGACTCTCTGTTCGTGTTACCTGATGCACACGACGATGTTGCGTATATCCGAATATAGCTTTATATCACTCACTTCCCGTTCGCCACTCACTCATGTGTGACAAGGACACAGACAGCAAACTGACATTTGCACACCAGTCAACAAACCACTAGAGAACCTATATCCCATATCCTATATCTTTAATACGCCAACGATTCGACATGACTCGATAAATATTTACCACCATATTTTCTGAAGATTTTGAGATAAATTACATTTCTCATTTCATATTTTATGTTAATACATCTAATTATGGCGAACTAAACGATTGATAGCACTGGAAATAACTAGGTCTATTACACTTTGAAAGAAGAGTCATTTTGTTAAAGAAAGACTTTTCAGAGTAAAGTTTCTCCAAATTTGTGATAATGTTTTTGATGATTTATTCAAGCTGATATTGATTGTGTAATAAAAAGACTTTACTTCTTTTTATAAAAATATGAAAAACTCAAGTCTTTTTAAAAATGATTGCGATTTAATGACTTTAAAAACAGTTGATTATTTAACAATAACTGTGAAAAAAAAATTATCAAAAATGTTGCTAAAAAACTTGACAAAAATTACATTTTTTATCACCCATTAAAGAATGTTTTTTTTCGTGATTTATAAATCTAAAATGCAAGTGTAAGATTGATAAAGTTTTACTCTGTATCTATTAAAGAAACATTTATTCTTAACATAAATTTTTTCCTCACTGTAGTGGTAAATGATTATCCTATGAATTATGCATAAATTTTTGTTTATTTTCGCTCTTTAATATTCACAATATTTTTCTTAGTGATTAAGTTATTTTTAAAAGCAGCTTTTAGTAGCTTTTAATAAAGGAGTATTTCGTGTAAAAGCATGATGGATATTTAAAATTCATTTGTCAATTATCTATGAACGAGTTTATTTTAATGTAGCAATACTTTCCTATTTGAATTTTGATTGTTACATAAATCTGAAATTTGACTACGCTTGAATAAAAAACACAATTTCTCATTATTATCACACCTTTTTTTATTTTCTTCCACAAAAAAATCCATTCAGTAATTTATTACTGCTTATTAAACAAATTTTGCTTTCACATCCTAAAAAAAATGATATTTAAAAAATCTAAGTTGTATTTCACTAAAATATAAGCAATAAGGATAATAAAATAATGTTGTCCAGAAAAAATGCCAAAGTGTTGCAGGTAAAATAAAATTACTAGGGTAAAATAACAATTTTTTCAAGTATTTTTAATCAAGGCCAATATGCTAATTGGTGAAACGATAGTACCCAAGTAGAGTACGAGCTGTTTAGATGAGGAAGGGTGATACGATGAGGATAAAAAAGCAAGGGTAAAAGCGCTCTCAGAGTTTCCGGCACTCGACTATCGATTCTTGCTGCTTTCAAGCTCTCCTTTGCTCTCTATCTCACTTTCTCGACGGTAATATATATTCGACGACGAATCACGGAAGGGAGAAGAGGTACTGAGGGAAAAAGAGGGAGAGGAGCTACTGGCCGGGTCCCCCGGATTTCGAGTGGTGTACGCCTCGACGTTGCTTTATCGTTCTAAAGCTAACGTTTATTATTACGCGAATTCACTACCTCTGGGACAACGAGATGTAGTGTAGACGTAGATGCAGCACACGAGGGGTAGAAAGGTAAAAACAAATCGTGTAAGATAACGGAAAAAGACAACAGTTACTTCCGCATTCCATCTCTGTCTTTTTTTTGATAAAGGGTTCTTTTTCTAGGACAAAAATATCTAAAAAAAAACACGGAAGTGTTAAGAGCACCAAGAAAAATTCCTACAACGTTATGTAAAAAAATTTTTCCTTTTTTTTCTATCCTTTTACACAAAGTTGCCTATAACAATTATTATTATTATTATTATTATTTTATTATCGATATAAACAAATCATTTCAACTTTGATCGAAAAAAATACATTGTTTGGAATAATAAAACTTGATTTAAAATTAAGATGTTGAGAAAAAAAATTAATCCCAATTGAATTTGAGTTGTCTCCAACAAAGTTTTATTGACAATAATATCATAAGAAATTTTATGTTCTCAATTTATTCCTTGCAAAATATCGAGAATCTTTAATATCTTATTTGTTCAAGAATTCAAGATTTATGGGTGTTTAAAAGTTTCATACTTTATTTTTAAATTAATTAATTTTGATAATAACAATAAAATATAAACAATTTACAAACGACAAATTAGTATTGAGCAGCCAGCTTGAATGCTCAACAGTTCATCTAGCACGAAAATACTTTTTTATGCATAAACAAATCTGGAATAAAATAAATTTAATCATTTATCAAGAAAATATTTTCAATATTGAAATAACAAAATAAAAAAAGAAAAAAAAATAACGAGAACGGCTTGAAAATTAATTAAATCAATTGTTATGAAAAAAAAATAGAGACAGTGATGCAAAAATATAAAAAGTAGAATTTTGACGAGCTGTGTGATATTTCAGATTACTTTGTTACATATTTATAAGCCAATGCATATGTCGATCTCTTGGATACGTTGGCAAACGATGTAATATCAACTGGGATCGTTACACATGTAAATGTAACACATTTGAAATAGATAGACCATCTTGAAAAGCGAGTAAAAATCCAAAAGGACCAAATGGTAGAAAAAAGTTGGAATATCTATAGCGTTCATGCATAAAAATGACTGCACATCAACGGTGTTGTTTGCAAAATGGTTGGATATCACCAGAAAGAGAGAACAAGCCTAGGCGAGAACTCGCACCAGGTATAGTGGTAGTGTTATGATAGCTATATTACTTCTATGAATATATTCCTGTTGATATTTCGGCTAAGCTCTCACATGTGTATATAAATTCGTAGTTTCTGATAGTTAAAATAATAATATTATACGTGAAAGTAGCTTTGAGCTTAATGTTAGTTATTGGTCCAGTTTGCTATCAATTTATAATGGATGATCATGGAAAAGAGATATGAGCATTACAGTTTTGCCGTGAGATATCTGTGTAGTATTTGTATAGATTGTACATGGGGATAAAGGTACAACAACATTTGATCATCAGCATCGGTGACGAGACAGCAATTTTATGGAACACGAAAAAATCAATAGATGCAGATGACACGCACATAACATGTACAGATTCCAGTAATTTTCAGCTCTCAGCTACAGTCTAGATTAATGCATGGAAAGTTTCATCACATTAGTTTGACAATTTGGCATATAAATTCAATTAGAGATACATCCGATCAAGCGCCAACAGAATGCATCAGTAGTAATAAACATCCTAGTAGACAGTTTTCAGGCATTTATTGATTTAATTAAAGTTTTAAATAAAAATGATCAAACAGTCTTAATAATCAGAAAAGAAGTGGATATTTTGAAAAAATTCCTCAAATATTGCAGTAAATGGTTTTAATTAGAAGTTGATTTTGATATCTAATCAAGGCCTTAATTAAATACCAAAATGACTGAAAAATTTTCAACGGAGAGGAGAAATAGGCACAATTACTGAACCGTAAACGTGGGAATCAGAAAGGTAAAAGAAAAACGAAAAAAAAGAAAAAAACAAGTATGGAGGATATACCAAAGAGCTCAATGTAAGCTTAGAGTGGCTTAGAGGATCGACTGCGCCGTAAATACGCCAATAAAAATGCAGAGTACGCTTAGTTCTCTTAGCAATCATGGTAGTGGTGTGGTTGTGGCATGATAGTGGCATATATATATACATATATCAGGATCAGAGTAGTGAGCATGGGCTGGAAGCAGAAGAAGAGGAAGTTGAAGCCGCGTCAGGAGACGCATCATGGAAAGAACGTGAAACGCGTAAAAAATTTTTTCGTCGAATAAATTTGAATAGCTTTCTTTTTGCCTAGAGGATAATGTAGACAATTTTTACAGTCAACACTCACGTAAAAAATAAAGTTACAACCAACGTACGACTCGATAAACACGAGAGTGGGAAATTTCATAAAAATGAAACAGCGGCAATGACAACAAAAAATCAAGTAAAAAATAAAAAATGTTAGTAAAGTAAATAAAGGATGAGTCGAGCGAAGTAGGAAGTAGAAAAGATACGACTACCGCCGGCCAGACGCATTAGTATTACGATGCAAAAATGTCCTGTAGTTGTATTGTAGATGTATGTATACATATATCTGTATATTCTCTTGCGATCATGGAGGACAAACAGAGAACTGGGATCGTCGTGTTCGTATATGCAGCTATGCTGGGTATTTATATGTATGTAATATTATAAGCGGAAGAGAATGCAGTGAATATAACGTCAGTGGCGCGCGACGGCTGTACAGGGACGCCATTATTTGTGATGCATATAAATGCATCGGAAACGGCTGCATAGTTGTATGAATCATACAGCAATTATCGTTTATGCTGCTGCTGTTGTCGTCGTCATTGTGAGTATAGAACGTGCTGTATAGTCAATAATATATATATACGTAGGAACACACTGGAATAATTCGCAAAAAAATGCATGACCATTCTTCATTTCTACCGCATATCCTGATCGTCTAAATTATTAATTAATCACTGATTTTATCGCTGCAATTAATATTATTTGCTTTTTTAACTATATTTAGCTGCAACTTCTATTATTATACTCGATGAATTTTAATTTATTTATCAATGACATAATGCACATAAATTGTATAGAAACTTTTATTTTACTTCGACCAAATTTACATTTCACAAATCGAAAGGCAGTAAGTTTTCATACATAAATAAACGTAAGTTTATTAGTTAATAAAAAAAAAATATATATATATATATATTTTTTTTTAATTTATGTCTTTTTTGATGGCAGAATATCATATCTTTTTTTATTTTACTTAATGGTTTTTTATTTTATCATTATTTTCCTGTCTTTTATTTATTTATGTTTTTTTTTATTAAAAATCTAATAAATATACAATTTTTTTTATTAATTACAAAAATGAAGTAATCATAAAAAGCCCATGTAATGATACAATGAAATTTTGATTTACATACTTTTAAAGGCTAGATGTATAAATAATATTATTAGCATTTTGAAAAAAATATTTTTCTTCGAATGCTTGAAAAAAAGTATTTTCATCTTTACTTTCTTCTCTAATTTTTTATTATAAGAGTTATGCAGAAATAAATGCAAAAAGTACTATCGGTGGTGACACATTTGACCGTAAGGGAGGATAATGGAAATGGCTATTTCCTAAAATAAAAAAAAAGTAACGCGAACTTAATAAGGACTAGGCACTCAAGACTCTTTCAAGATATACATTTTTCTTGAAAAAATCTTGTAAGCAGAAAAATAATCTTTTCGTTGTACTACCTAAACCTATGTTATATGTTATTAAAATATTATTATATAATATAGAGAATAATATAATTAAATATTTAAGAGTGAATAGAAAACTTACATCAGCAGATAATTTCCAGTCTGACTGAATGTTGTCTATAAAAAAATTGTCACAGCGTAATTTTATTATTGATATTATTATTATACATTATATATTATATATCACTAGCCAATTGCTTCTTTTAAGGCTGCCAGTTGCTCTTCACCAAGCTTCACCTTATCTTGAATTTCTCTTCCGTCCATGATTAATTTTGTCTTCATCGTAATAAAATGTTGATAATCAGCAAATTCTTCATCATTCAGATATTTGGCTAGTATCGCCGAAACGTTGACACTGCGCTTGTCAATATTACTTTTTAAAATCTTTGCTTCCTCTAGTTGTTCCAACAATTTATCTCTTTTACTTTCCAAAATTTTCTAAACAAAAAATATCATATTTTATTATTTCTCAAATAATATTTCATAAGATTAACGTCTTCTTAATCCTCCTTAGCGTTTTAAGAAAATATAATAATGAAATATTGTCACTAAATGTGATACTTACTCTTTCTGGATGATCTGGTGGCATGCCATGAAGAGCATTTTCAGCTCGAGCAAGTCGTCCACTCAGTCCCAATAGTAGACTTGTGATTTTTCCAACTTCTTCAACATGCAATCGATATTTAGATGCTTCTGCTGGCCTTGCAACAGCATTAATTCTTGATGCTACTTTTGTACCCAATGCTTCATTCATTTCACCCTCTTCTCTAACAGCTTCTTGTTCTGCTCTCAAAACAATCACTTTTCGATCTAGTCTAAGAACTAATTCTTCCTGAAAAAAATAATGATAAAAAATTATCATTTATTATTTTTATAACACTGACTTAGATGATTATTGAATTAATAGTTAAATGTTCAGAATAGCTATCTTTAATTGAACAGTAAAAATTGAGTCTCACCTTTTTTTGTTTGAGATCAATATTATCAGTACGTGTATTTTCAGAAGATTCTTCAGTTCCGTTGGCAACATCCTTTTCACTAATATCCTGGGAGTATTGGGTGAGAAATCTGGCTTTACCTTCAGAAGTAGTAAAGTAAGCTGACGTTGGAGACAATGGATTGTTGGAGTCAACATTAGACGATGATATAAGTTGTGTTGAGGGCATTTCAATCCTGAAAAATTCCATAAATTGAATTATCCAATAAAAAATTGACTCAATATTTGTTCGAAAAGAACAATAATGAACTTTTTGATTAGAACGAAGTTAAAAAAAATGATACGGAAGAAATATCTAAAAAAAAAATTAAGAACTAAAACAAGATAATGTTGTCAACTACACACACCATAAGAAATATTTCCAATTGTCAAATCATTCTTTAAAATTTATAACTACAGTTAATGCTTGTGATCAATCTAGCAAATTTAGACCGACTGACTTAACAAGTTCTTGGTGTCTTGCACAAAACTTACTTATTCAATAGACTACATGCATTCATGTCTCTGTGTAATGACTATGAGGAACAAACTCTCACCTTCGTTCAAAGCAGTAGTTGATAATATCATTTATGGCGTGGATTATGCAATTCTGTTGGCAGTGTACTTTCTCTCTCCTTGAAGGTCTGTCGTAAACGAATTATCGACTATCCGAGTAGATCAAGTCAGAGAGAAAGACACTTCATTTACCGTTAACTTATAGCACATACATATATATATGTATATTCTACACAGTTCATAAATAACTACTACTATTTGTTCCAATACCAATATTAATAAATTTAATTTTAGCAACCGTAAGAGAGTTTAATCAGTGCTAATTCGTGTATTCATTTAATTATTGTGAATCAACGTCACTAACTGTATCTCCATAAATGAATGGTTAAATAAAAATAGACTAATTAAACTTACTTTTTCTTGTTTTCTTCAGTATCGTCCTCGGGAGACGACGGCGATAAAGATGTATTCTCTGTTGATATTGGTCGTCTTAGACGGGGTTGTAGAGTTGTTTCTACTCTAAAGAGGCCTGAAACGTAGTCTGTTGGTTTTTTATGCTCTGGTGCTGGCACTAAAAAGAGAAAAATAATTTAACTTTAATAATGATTGTTTCTTAAACGGCTTTAAAGAGTTACTTTTTTATTTGAATTAATTATTTATTCAAATGAATCTTTTTTTTTAGAAGATTAAATAAATTTAAAAAAACGAAATTGATACTAACCTAGAATAGGAACAAGTTTATCATTGGGTCCTAATTGATTAGCTAAATCCCTGCTCAGTTTTTCACATTCAATTTCTTCAGGTAATTTAGGCCGCGATTCGGGGAGACGTTGGCTTTCCACATGACCTTTAGTCGTCTCTTGATCGTCTAACGTTTCAGTTTGAGAAGCCACATCAATCGTTGTTGTATTTACTCTGAGCACAACTTCAGTTCTTTGTACTAAAGTTAATCCTTCAATACCAGGCTGTGGTGAGACACATGGAGACGATTTAGCTTCTACTGGCGAATATCTTGGTGACAAAGAGGATGATGAACTTGATATTTTCGAGACACTTGATAGAGATGAAGATCTTGAGCCTGAAGACCACGTTCTTTGCAGTCTATTTGTGAACATATTCTCAGTCTGACTGGATTCTTCAAATTTAATCCAAGAACTGTCAGTCTGTGCTGGGCTTGAAACTTTACTCCGAGAATTGATAGTTTGATAAGAGTTGATTTGTTTGGCATTGTCGGATTCTATAAAGGATTTTTTATCATCATTTCTACCAAGTGAGTTGCTGGAGTAAACTTTTGGTGGTGAATATCTCGAATTCACTTGTCCTTGCTCTAGAGATAATTTAGTTGATGAAGAACTGGAGCTTGAACAACTTCCAGAACGTCGAGGAACAGCTCCTCTTGATCTCAATATACCACTATCTTCATTTTTATAGAACTTTGAATACTTTGGAGGTGATAGTGACGGTGGTGATGATGATTTCTCAGCAAAAGATGATTCATTATCACAGCTTTCATCAAGTATTTCATTTGAGCCTCGTTCAACTTCCATAGTAGTGGCTGTTGTTGAGTGGCGTTTCTCTTGCAGAAGAGCATTTCGGAAGTTTAATAGTTGAACGTTTTTAGATGTCATTTCAATGGTAGCACTTGTTCCATAATATATATCTTCCGTGCTCATATCTGTTGGAAAAAATGTTTATTAAATAAAGTCATAAAAATAAATCGCCAGTAGATTGAAGCAAACAAAAAAATATTTACCAGATTTGATTTCAGATGAATCACGATGTGAACCAGAATTTCCATGAGAATCGCAATTAGCAGTTAATTTCTGACGTTCACGTTCAAGTTGTCGATTCCTATCATTTAATATTTGTACACATTGTGACGAAAGACGATCTTTATGATCAAATTTCTTTTCAGATTGACGCGAATAAATAGCATCTTGACAATGATCAAGTCGATCCTCATTGTTGCAATCGTTATTGTTTGTAATAATACTACTATTATTATTACTCTCAGATCTGGGTCGCGTGTCGCTCGCCTGGTGCTTTTTGCTCAGTTCGTGAGACAGCTTCCCTATTACTTGGACCGTGTGGGCGTTCGGGCGTTCTTCGTTACGGTGATGAAGAGCGTCGACGCTGTGTGACTTTGACAAGTCGTGATGATTAGGATTATGATCAAGCTGATGTGGATGATGGGGTGTAACACGGAGGAGAATCGGGTCATCACGTTCCCGAGGTGGTGGCCAATCCTCCAAACGAGCTGTTGGTGACATTGTTCGCTTATAACTCCCTTCACTGTCTGGCGCCCCGCGTTCTCGTTTGTAAGCCAAATATGATGCTTTTGATTGACTCCTGAAAATTTAAATTACAGCATTAGAACCATAATTATCTTTTGTTGGTTTCGAAAAATTTAAATTTTAATAAAAAAATTTTTTCATTACTTTTAATTTGAGAATAATAAATTAATAAATTCATTTCAAACATACATCTAATATTCAGTAGAAATTAAATTTCTATTAAAATTTCAGGATATCTTAATATTTAGTAATACTTTATCAATTAAGAATAGGCCTAATTACCGTTTTAAGTTATCTACCAAGATAAATAAGTCATTAACAAATTAAAATGAATATCAAACACTCCTTATTTGGAATGTGTACCTCATTTTTCATATAGACTTTAGACTCTGTAATTTTCATTTGAAGAATCCATGCCATAAATGAAATATCTTTTCTTTGAGATTTTTAATATACAAAATACAATAGATTGCAGATAATAACTTTTGTTTCAACAACAAACAATATACTTTGTTAGAGTTTGATTAATCGTTGGCATTGATCAATTGTCTAAATGTGTGTTTTATTAACATCGAATAAATTTTTGCACATCGATGGAGGTGCTGAAGAATCAAAGAATAGCGACAATAAAAGAGAAAAAAAGATTGAATTCTGATCACGCAATGCCTGGTGAAATTGTGCTGGTTCAAACTGCTTCACGATTGGAAGAGAACCGTTTTCGTGCAAACTGTAGGTGTATATGTTCATATATACACATATATATGTATATATATAATATATTTTAGATTGACGAATCTATTCGAGTCACGTACGAACTTCCTTGTGTGTCAAAGCCTTTCGATGAGACTCTTGCCATCGCACAGAATTACTGACTACGTGCGCCACACGTTTTCAATGTATTTCAGACTCTTTGTTCCGCAAGACAGATTTATCCATTTATTACTGAATTATACTATCAAAATCAATCAATTTCTATGCACTGTTGAAATTTTAATACCTTTATTATGTTATTAAAGAGATTTATTCAAAGCATCAAAACTATAAAAATCATTTGATCATTTTTCTAGGATAATAATGACCATTCTGTATAGATGAATCGATTATTTTTCTTCATCATGTATCGACTTGTAGGTATGCAAAGTTATAAAATTTCAAATCACGAAAAAAAGAATGCCACACCTAAACTCTTCAAGTATTTTTGTTATTTTCCTTAAAGAAAACAAAAATGTATGTGATAAATGTCATCAGAAATATGAGGGTCCATGAGAACTCATAATTCAACAGGTTTTAAGGGAAAAATATTAAAAGCCACTATACTAAAGGTTCCTTGACCTTTTTGATGTACTCTTATTTATACTCTTGTCGTAATTTAATACTTTTCTTATCATTTCTTTCTATTACTTTTTTTTTTGTTTTTAATTAAAATAAATTTAACAATAAAATTAAGTAAACCTAAAGTGTGAGTAGAATTAAAAATGAACTTGACAATCGCATTAGAAATAGAAACATCTGTACTTAACATGTGTACACATGGTTAGGAATTTTACACAATCTCATTATTTAAACGGCAAAATGTGTCTTAAAAACGTGATCAGAGAATAAAAATTCTCCAAAAAATATTCAATGTTTAAACGAGTTTTGTTTCATTTGTTCTGTACTGTCTTTTTTATGTTTTCAATTCTTGTCTCTCTCTGTTTTACGGACAAAAGATGCCGAGGACATCGTATGCACAGAGGTAGAGGTCAAAACCTTCGCCTCATGGAGCTCTGTACTAGTCATCACAACTTTTTCTATACTCGCAGACATGTTGGTACGTATTATTTTGTCATTTGTTGCGCAATCAACATGTATCATAGTGGTGATCATAATTACTGTACATACACTGTGTATTTAACGTAATTATCACAATATATTTTTTTCACTATTTTATTACCATCTAATAATTAAGCTCTAGCGACATTGATATCTTTATTCTATTTCAAATCTTAGAAAATATTTCAAAATAAAATCATAAAGAGGAATTTTTAGAAAATACCGACAAAAAATAACTGCAAAATGTAATGGAGACATATGGAGTAAATAATGAGTTCACATGATAACAACCAGTTGCCATGCGAATGCTGATAAGAATGATAAAAGCACCGAGGTCTTCCCACGCATATTCTTGACTTTTTTCGTTCACTTGTATTATCAGTTTTTAACATTCAACAAAAAAGAGTACTATTGGAGAAAGAGAGATTTCATTGATAGTTGTTTATATGAAAGGTGAAAAGAAAAATAAGAAGAAGTAAAATGGATGATATTGCATTGGGAACTACATGATCATAATGTATCCAGTTAAACCAAATTCGTAGCAATTTACACGTTAACATGTACCAAACATTCTATACATTCAATGCTGGTGTTCTAGTTTTACTTTCCATTTATAAGAATCGACACATAAGGTTTCTTGTAGCTCTTTTTTCAATGTAAAAATACAATCGATTGAGATCAGTTAAAACGGGTCAATACAATTGATTGTAATATTATAGAATTGTGGTAGTAATTGTTTTCTTTTTTTTAAATAGTTTTGACACGCATTACAACAAGTTTATAATCTAATCAATGACAGCTACTTTAGTTACTATCTCTCTAGCTTTAATGTCGATTATTAGACCAGTATTTAAAGCTTTCCCAAGTATAAGTTACAAGTGAAATGCACGCTTATCGACTGAAAAAATAAATAGCAGTCAATAATTAAAATAGTGCGGGTTATTCACCTGTTAATAATCTGCAGATTATCTAGCTTTAATAACAAATGTGTCAAGTAGTTTAATTATATTATTTTTATTATTATCACCAGCATTATTTATTTATTATTAAATAAGTTGTTATTATGTTTAGAATTTATTAGTAATTGATGCTAATAATTATGAATAAGATTCGTTAAAAGTGTTAGAAAAATTTTCAATTAAAAACATAAGACAGTTATAAGAGAATAATAATTGTAAAAGAATGTGTTGTCACAATTGTTTCTTTCGACTTCTTCTGTAATTCACTCATCCTAGCATTTACTAATTCAATTTTGTCGCGACAATTATTTTCTGTCGATTCCGCCGGCATTCCTTACTAATGACAAGTTTCATAGATTTTCCTTACCGGTATTATTTCAAATATTAATGTTTTAAGTGATGACATTCATCAGTTGGTTAATATACTTTTTTTTGGAAATAAAGAGATAAAGTTAAATATTACTTTGCTCAATATGAATAACAGAACCTGGGGCAAGATGGGGGTATATAGTAACATTAGGGGGATTTGTGTATGAATCATACATGTATTTTTCATACATGCAATGCTGTTCATAGAGAGTCCTTGATGGATTACGTAAAAAATTACAATGAATTTTTTATTCTTCGTTTTATTCAAGTTATTTGAATATAAATATACTTTTTTGTACAAAAAAAATTTTTTTCATACAAAATACATCACAAAAGTGATTTAATTAATTTTTTAGTATTTTAAAGCTTATTAAAAAATTATTATTTTAATTAAAAAATTGATAAAAATTACGACCAGATAATAAAAAATAAATTAAAATTTTATTTTAATGTATAAAAATTATATCTTGTGAAAAAAATAAATCCCAAAGGAAACTATAATTTATTTTTATTTTTTTTTTCATAAATAATTCTATTTAATTTCTTGAAAGAATTTAAAAGTAAGATTATTGTTGACAAGTTTTGTTGTACAACAATTATAAATTATTATCAATTAATTGCCAATATTTATAATAAATACAATTTATTTATTGAAAATGAATATGAAAAAGACTTTTTTAAGTGTTATTATTGGTTATTTTGAATAGCATATTAATAAAAAACAATCATTAAATAACTTTTCAAAACATCTTACTAATATTTATACCCCAACCTGCCCCTCTACTACCATCTATATTTAAATGAATTTGCATTTTGTAAGTTTTTTATAATAATAATGACTCGACTAATTATATCTTGATTAATGATGTTCATATGTACAATACAGTCAATATCAAAGAAAAATGGCGAGGTGCGATATTAGAATAATCCTCGACTTCTAGGCGCCATGGTGATCATTTTACATGGTATTATCCATACTAACAAAGAAATTACCAGATAATTTAGTCAGACGCACCCATTTCTACAGATTTTTTTTCTTTTCGTAAAATTACACAACTACAACACACATTGTATAGTGAAAATTGCATTTGTTTGTTACAGCTAGAGTAAGCATGGGTAAGAGGGAAAGTTATATGTATAATTGGACAGTAAATTCTTGCTACGATCTAATCGGATTTAATTGGGACGAGCAAGTAGTTTATCAAGTAAGCAAATTTAATAAAAGGTCATAAATGAAACCCTACACTTTCGTAATTATTTTTTACTTAGATCAAGGTGATTGTAATTAGTTACGCCTTTAATTGAATACCGATAATGCGAGTAAGTACCGTAAATTATGATTGCCATTAATATATTGTACGTAAGATGAGTTTTGTATGACCCTGAACAGAGAGAAGATTGTGTAAAAAATCATGATTTACGAAAGTATTGTTGAAAGGAGATAAGATTATAAAATACGATAATAAATAATCCACTTACAAAAAACAAATATTTTATGCTTCCTGACATTTGTTTATTAACTTATTGCTATTACATTTATTTCTTCTTATTCGCATTAATTGATTCATTAATTGATTGATAATATTGTTTGTTTATTATTTCATATCTTTTCATTTTTACTCTCTGCCCCTTTCCCTTCTCTTACTCCTTCTAACTTTAATGTACTCATCTGGTATGTGAACTTGGAATGATATCATACAGAAGAAATAGCTGATTATCGATCCGCAAGAAAACTAGTGGTAAATCATCAAAGTCTATCTAGTAAAATAGTGTGAATAGATAAAATAATTTCTTAGTTGGTAATATGTTAAAAAAGAAGCCACGTAAACGTTTTTTTTTTTAATCACATATTATTCTGATGGTTATTAATAAATCTTTTTTTTTCTTCAAATTACATAACTATTGTATAATTTGCTATTAAATAACGTTAATCAATTTTTCTCTTTATTTTTATGATATAAATCAATTGATTTATTTTTATTATTCTCTATGAAATTAATTAAGCTTATACTGAATATTAAATATTAAAATTAAAAATAGAAAATTTATATCAAAATATAAAATGATACAATAATAGTTGTACCTTCTAATACGAAATTTATTGCTTCCAAAAATCATTGCACTGATGTTGTCCATAAAGTTGTAGACTCCAAAATTTAACATTTGTCAACAATATATAGAAAATTGTTTAAATAACACAAATTACATTTATTCATTATTTCCTCCACATTTTTTTATGTTACTTTAGCGATTAAAAATTTTTTCTCGCCTCGCATTTAATATTTAATCACTTTACTAAGATACTTTTGTTACACCAATCCGCAGTAAAGTTGTCTTAAGCTGATTCCGGAAATGTCTGATGTAAAACGAAGACATTTAGACAGTTAACTCGGTATATTTGTACTGGTTAAATTAATGAAAAATATTCAAGAAATAAAAAGAGAAAGAGAAGTAATAAGTTAATATATAAAATATTGTTTGTGATAATGATAATGTGAGTTAGTGTGTAAATGTAGTGGTATTTTAAGACGGGTGTGCGGGTGCTGTCAACGGAGTTGTGAGCTTGAACCAGCATAAACTACGACTGCCACAGGCAGCGCAAGCGCTTGAAGGCGAACGTGTAACATAAAATGAACGTGGAGGGGAATAATATGCTTGAGAAACAGAATAAAGAAAAGAATCGATATTTATTAGATTAGCAGAAGACGGGCTTTTAAATGCAAAGTCAATTAACGAGAATAAATACTAAATATTTAGTTATGTTTTTTGCAGAGTTTAATAAAAAATATAATCTAAGAATACATTTAATACCCTGATGGCTTTAATCTAGCTACATATTGGATTTTTAAATACCACATTTGAATTTTAAAATTGCTCTTATCATTTCTACTCCATTAGTAGCATCAAATCAATCATTTTAGCTAAACTTTCATTAGAATGTAATAACTCAACTACTCATTTATACTTTAAATTAATATACTAAATCTTCCAATATAGTGTGAAACACCTAAAGTGAAAGGTATATATTTTAACCTAAAATAATATAAATAAAAATCGAAAATAGCTGAGATAATTATTTTAAATACTCGTTTAATTTATTTATCACCAAGGAATATTTTTTGTTCGAGATACTAGAGTGTACTGATCATAGAAAAATATGCAAAAATGCTGTTGATATTAAAACTAACAGAGCAAACACTATACAAATAATGATTTTTTATAGAGTAATTTTAGAAATTGTTGACAGAAAATCATCGACTTCCTACATTCCACATCTTGAGGAAATGTTACGGAGGAAAACAATCAGTTATAGTGTAAAATTGTTACTCTATATTTTCTACATAGATTAAACTGTTGAACGAGAACCATTGTGAATCTGCATCTTTTCCTCCTCCACCTCCTCCTCCACTTCAATTCTTTATTTTTTCAGTATTTTTGCCTCTTATATTTCTTCCAGAGCAATTCCCCTGCCGCATAGTAACGGTAATACATCAGTGAGATCGCGGTAATAATACTGGACAATTTGTTCATTCCGGGTAAGGTTGAATGTCGCCAGAGAGCGATCCCGTTCCTTGCGACGCTCTACAGAACTCGTGTCCGGTGTCCGACGGTCATTGTCTTAGAAAACAACTTCTTTGTCTTGTTTAAAAATTCATTTGTTTTATTTATTTCATCCAACAATTTCACCAGACATTTTTTTCTACTAATATTATCAAAATATATATGTGAAATAATAAACTGCATCCTGAATATATGCAACAAGTTGATAAAAATGGAAAACGTCTGGTTTTGAAGCAGCTGTCAGATAGCTTATATAGTTATTTAAATGCGTAGATCATTAAAGATACATCTGCTGCAGGGATGTGATATGTATCAAATTACGTTAATTGAACTTATAACAATGTATTTATAAACAGCAGGAATGTATTGCTTGAATGAAATTGGAAAATTGCATTGCATTATGATACTCTTCAACAGTCAGCAAGCTTTAAAACAAGAGCATTCAAAGTTATAATTTAATTAACAAGATTGAATGTTCTATTTATTTTGTAAAATTATTACTTGAATTAGCATCCTTGAAGCTTTTATAGAAATTATAAAAAACTTCAGCCGTTGTTTTATTCAGAGAAAAAAGATCAATTTCAATTTAAAAAACAACTGATTTCTTTGGGGCATTTTGTTACACCTTAAAACTGTGCATAATGAAATTTTTTTTTTTATTACGATGTTGGAGATCAAGATACTGATCAAGCTGATGTATTGAGGATGATAATGAAAATGAGCTTAGGAATAAATTACAGATGATACAAGAATGTAATTGTCATGAAATACTTTATACTGGTTCGCCTCTTAAAGTTGACTGCAGGTGTAGGACACTGGAAACTAGCTTTATCTGCATGCACAGAATAAAAGACGAAAGAACATGAAAAAGCACGCGCGAGGGAGTCTTCAAGAGGAATAGCACAGCGACACTGCACGTGTAGAGAGTCGTTAAACGTAAAATGCCGCTTGATTTACGGCTGCTCTTTTTGTAACTGTACTGATACTTAAATTTCCATGTTATTTTTTGTTCAGGGTTTTTTTTATTTTGCACAATATTCTGTCAAAAACCATGTTGGATTACTCGAGTGTCTTTTATCCTTTAAGGAATTTTTAAATAACCACTACTGTAATCTGATTAATTTACGAACGACAAGGATGAAAATGATTTAAATCAACAAAAACACTCATTTATAAATTGTGTTTGAAACTGTTATTCAGTGCGCAATAATTGAGTCCTGCTTCTGTCGACAATAATTAATCCACAAATGATGCCATATATTCTGGAAAGTTGTAGTCAGAAAGACAAAAAAGGTAGTGCCGCTATTCGTTAGACGGCGAGCAAGTGTATGGCACTGATGATAAGATTATTCAGATTCACTGAGAAAGTCAGAAGATGTATTTAAAAAAAATCAAATATACGAGAGAGAGAGAGAGAGAGAGAGAGAGAATAGAAAAGGAAATAGTCTATTTTACTTCGAAGGTCACACCATCAAGTGATGCTATTGCCAAGTTAATGATTTTCTTGAAAAGGAAAAAGAAAATAAAAAAGAGTAGCGAGGTCGAGATAGTAGCTCACCTTTTGCTGGTGCGTGGACTGTTGCGGATGCTCTTTGGGGTCTCTCGACCGTCACGGAGAAGGGAGCAAGACACCAGTTACCCAATCAGAGCGAGGAAGAAACAAAAGAAAAGGTGAAACAACTTATCGTCCCGTGAGATCGAGTCTACATCCTGTATCCTTTGGTGGATGCAGAGATAGAAAATAAAAATCACTTTGGCAAGCCTGCTTCCTTGAAACAATTGTTACGGCAATTGTTATTGACCGACGAATCTTTGATACCTTCTTCCACCTTTCTATACCTTTAATCTCTTTAGGCTACTAAACACCAACATCAGCTACGTTCTTTCATTGTCTTTGATTAATTATAATGAGTTCTTTCCAAACGAAATGAGGTACATTTCAACTTAACTGTATCATTACACACTTGAGTGAGTGTTTGTTGACCTGACTTACCAAGTTCTTTGGTAATAAAATTACCAACATATTTAAGTAATTAAGATAAAAATTCATCAACAAATGGCTCAAGTGAGTCAATCAATAAAATTCATATTAATCTTTAGATAATTGATTGTTTTTATGTAAGCATAGAGTAATGAAAAGTTGTGAGTCAAATAAACTAGTCGTAACTTACCCATGAAATACATATGGTGGAGGTGCTGGACGAGGTGGTACTGGTAAAGATTTTCTAGTAGATGAATTTTGTCTTGGAGCAAGAGGCGGTGGCGGTGGAGAAGTAGCAAACCTGTCCGGACACTGAGGCTGAGGTATCTGCTTAGGGGCATCGATATACTTCGGTGGTGCTGCATAATAATTCTTAAGAGTTAAATCTGGATGCCGGTGATGGTAATTACTAGCAACATATTTAGGAGGATCGTGATATTTCTGCGGATTTGGTTCTGCTAATAGCTTAGTATTTGCTTCATAAGATGTCTTGAGAGGTGCACCGGCAGAATAGCCGTGGTTTTCCGGGTATTTATTATTTTTTAAAGTGTCAGGTAACAAAGCCGGATAATTTGATTTTGAAGACTGCTGACACTGAGTACTAGACACTGAGTAACAAGTGGTCTTTTCAATTCCGTTACTCTTAGGAACCTGAGGCTGAGGTCTCTGTCTTGACGAAGACTCGAATCGTCCATCTTCCATCTTCACAAGACCAGAGGCATTAATTCTAGTGCTTTCCACTCGCATGGATTCTTGTCGAATGATGCGTGACTCTACAGGAACTTGTAATGCGGGCCGTTGATTACCAGAATCGCTATATCTTTCTGATATAACTAAGTCTGGCAATCTTGATGGTGGTGATCTTGACAAGTTATTTCGTTCTTCAAGAATACGTCTAACTGATGGCATTCGACCATTTACCATAAGTTTTTGAGCAGAAGTACAACGGAGACTAGATCTACCAGTTGTTATCATCCTATGCATTGCGTATCCTGCGGCAGTTCCATCCTCGTTTACAAAGTCTGAGTCTACAGGCTTCACTAAAGCTGAACAAACAAAGTTGTGATCATCAGCAAGTTGCTTTGGGCCATTTTGAGTTAGTGAAGACACTGTTGATGATTTATCCGATGATTTCTTTTCGTCTTTTCGTGTTGGTCTTCTCATAAAAGTTTGCTCTTGCTGAACTTGATGCCTATGGCTAAGTTTCATTTCTTCAATATTTTCATTTTCTTTTGTATCACCACCAATCTCAAGGTTTCGTTCATTTAATTCTGATAAAGGTGGTGGTGGTGGAAGTGGAACATCTGAATTTAAAACTTCATCTTCAGTTATTGTAGGTGGAGAAGGTGGTGGTAAATCAGGACTTGGCATTCGATCACTGTAGATAGCACGTAAATGAGGCTTTTTAGGTGGTCTTTCAGGTACCCAATCATCAACAGAAATAGCTGGACCAACAATTACTGGTCCAAGAAGATCTGTGGATAAGCTTCCACAGCTATTACTGTGCTGATGTTTAGGACTAGGTACTTCATTATTGTGGTTTCGATTGCTTTTATCTCTCCAGCCTCCAGTAGCATAATCTGAAGCTGAACTTGCACGTCTCGAAGATAGTGGTCTTGGTCTAGGAGGTGGTTGCGGCGGTGGAGGACTATGATTTGTTGGTAGTTGGGGTACACCTTGAACAAGTTGTGGCTCAGATCTCCAAGAAGATTGGTGATGATGTCTTTCGTAGAATGATAACAAAGCCTTCTTTTGGATTGCCTTAAGAGTTGGATCAGAAACACGATGGCGTTTGTCTGGATCCAAAAAAGTATAACGCATTTGTTGTTGCAGTTGTTGTTGATGTGGTTGTTGTTGTTTTTCTAATTCATTGATTCTGTCAGCAACTGACAAATGAGTTTTTTGAGTGGAAACCGGTGAATTTCTACATACAATGAATCTTAAATTAATTAAACTGTCTTTAGGATTAAAGTATTTATAAATAAAATAATAAAAAATACCTGATTCCTTGTCCGACATCCTGTGATTGTGTCGTAGAGACAGGGTATAATTTTCGCTGATTCCGTTCTCTATCAAGATATAATACACTCTCAGAATGATGTCGTTGTGGCGTCTGGACTCGTGCACTGTGAGCAATGAGCTGTTTACTACTTGCATGAATTGATACATTTGCTTGATTGACGTCGGACATGGACCCATGAAGTGGATTCCAATCATCCTGAATCTGAAGATTGTACTGTTGTTGATGCTGTTGTTGAGATTGGGACATTGAACTTTGTGGCATAGGCCGTGAATTGTGATTATATCTCGATTGATCGACATTCATACAAGACTCCCAACCACGATGAATGCCTTTAGACTTAGGCGTTGGTGTTTCTTCATCAATACTGGACTCTTGCCACTTACTCTCTCTACAAGTAGTCGTTTGACAAACATCATTGTCCGAAGCATAGTGACTGATAACCTCTGATGGTAAACTAGTTCTATCGGTCATCTGTTTACAGTTACGATCATTCATTGTAGACTGCCATTTGTTCTCTGGCCATTTATTGTCAACATCGTTGATCCTTTGCTTACTAGAGATTGTAAACGATGAGTTTATATCGCTCATAGATTCTTGCCACTTATCAATATCATCACTCGACTTCTGTATGCTCGTTACTCCACCATTTACACTACTTATATCTGACATAGAACCATGCGGCCAAACATCGCCATTCACTTGTCGTGCAGGAAGACCTGAAGAGACGCTCACATCCGACATCGAGCCATGCCATTTCAATGTTTCGCTGCTTGACGCACTTCCACCGCTTGATGTAGTCACTACACTATCTCTACCTTCCCTAGATGTTTCTTCCCAAGGCGGTGCTGGTTGTTGAGCTGCAGCTACTTGACTGTCTCGACGTAATCTATTGAACAATATGTATTTAATTCTTTAATTAATACTTGAAATGATTGAAATCAGAAAAGCTCATGGGGAGTATTTTTAATTTGAACCATAATGGATTAATTACATGACTTAAAAGTTGAATTGAAAGTTGACAATAAAAAGTAGCAAAAAAAATTTTTTTTATTAAAAATAGCAAAGTTTACTTTCTTTTAATCTTAAATAAAGATTACATGAATCTTTTTACAATATTTACCTATCTAAAAACGGTGTATTGGTAGTGGAATCGACGCTTGAAACGTAACTGTGATATCCTTCAGATTGAGCATAACTGGCTTGTTGTGAATGTTGAACTCTCGTATACTCTTCTAACCCGGCTTGCGTTAAAGTTGTTTCACGATAAATATCGACCTAAAATAAATAATGATAGTAATAAAATAGTATACTTTGATTTAAGATTATTCAGAATAATTTACTAGCAATGCTCAAATAATTACTTGAGAAACTTGAGGATCCTGATAGTCAGTAATATACGCATTGAGATCAGAATGACTGAGTATCTGAGATGGCTGTTGCTCTTGTTCAGGTGAAGATGGAATAACATACTCAGCATCACTTAAGGATTTACCATCACGATCAACGCGAGGCCACAACTTACTTTGATCATCGTCACGGCTAACACGACTACCCCGTGATTCGAAACTTTCCACCGGTATTTTTTCACATCGTTCCATTACTGTTTTTAACTGGAACAACACATAAACATCATTTATTGAGGCAAAAGCTGTAAAAATGTAATTTTTATTCAATGCTTGTAAGATTCATTATACATCCTGATAGAATGAATCTCACTTCGATCCACTTTTGCTGATGGATATAAAAGTCTACGAAAGGAAAGGTTTATTCGTTGTGTCCGTAAAATGACGTCAGGAAGTACGCAAGAGAGAAAGGAGTAGAATGTGGGAGTGGTGATTAATTGTCTTTTCATTCTGCAACGATCCGTCCATGTCTTACTTTCTTAAACAACTAACCAGTGTCTTCTTTTATAAACCAGATAAATCATTGTATATTTTTCAATAGTCCATAGACTTTGTCGGTAACCTAATCAAACAATTGCTTTAGTATTATTGACAAAATGACTAACCTGTTGAGTATAACTCGGATTTGTTCGTTTGGCAAGAGGCTTTGTGTTGTACTGAACTGGCTTCTCTTTCGAATAGTTGGTCTGATCTGTCCAGGATTTAGATCTGTGAGATCCAGAATTGGCTATTGAGTTATTTACATTGTCCTGATCCTGATGATGATCGTCAGATTCACTGCTTGGCCAAGATGGATATTTTTCATGTCCTGAAGTATAACAGATGCCCTTGAGACTTGAAGCGTCGCGCATCGGTGGTGTTGGGGGCGGTGATGAGTCGTCCCTGTCATTGAGTGAGAGACTGAAGCTGTCGAATCCAATGCTCTCGCTATACCTTTACAAATAATTACAAAATTTATTAAAATTTCATCAAAAACTATTTTAATTATTTATAAAATGTGCATCGAAAAAAGTACTTGATTACTTTCTAATAAACATGAAAAATTTTTAAGTAAAAACTGCTATTATTAGAAAACATTAATTATTTTAGAATCTTCTTCTGCAATAGGCATCCAAGAAATTAGAAAAAATAATAAAAATACTTTATGATGCACATTTAATAATTTTAAATGCCACATAAATTATTTACCCGCTGTCATTTTTATAACCGGGAGTATTTTTTTTATTGTAGCCATCATTATAGCCAGCAAGAGAATTGGATTTCTTCTCTTCATTGTCGCCAACATTGTTTTCGTTCTCCGAAGTCCATTTCTCGGTTTTTTTACGATAATGTTCTCCAGGACTTGAGCCACGCGACGCGCTTTGTTGCTTCTGTTGAGTTTGCGGCTGCTGTTTATTGCTATGTTGTTGTTGTTGCGACAGATAACCACCACTGTCTTGTGAGTATAGGTTAACTTGCTTATAATTACAAGTCTCGATTAAGTGGCCATGAGTATGATAAGACTTGTTGAAAGTGTTGGAATTGCAACTGGATGGGTCTAGAGCCTCGTCTTGGCCTCGATATCCTGAAAGAGACGGTTGGAGCTCCGTCATCGCGTTACACGTAACCCCGCCATTAGGAAAACAGCTGTGAACAATAATTAAATAATTTATCAATCAATATTTTAATTGCCAATTATTTAATATATTAATTAATTTCATCATAGCTAAGAGTTTTTTTTACTGATGATGTTATTAATATTTTGAAAGATGATGATTGAAGGAAACTGATGTTGATAACAAAAAACCTCAAATGATATTAAGTAATAATGTTTCAGAATAATATTAAAGTGATCATTAATGAAGTAATATAGCAACTGTTTACTTTTTACAAGAATTAAAAAAGTTTATTAATTAAATGAATGAGAAATAATAATTGAAAAATAAAAAATCGATGATTAATTTTAGAAATTGGTGATTTAATTAAATTCTAAATATGTAAATTCACAAATAACAGTTTCACTTTTTTGTCAAAATTAGTCAAAAATTTTTTTGTTATTTTTATGTGAATTACTTGACAGAGAATAACTGTAAAATTTTATGCCGCCAAATTTTGAACATAAAAATGGATGAATTAAATCATTAATATAACGGCTGGCAAAAAATACTTAAATAAAAAAATTGATTGTATACATATATGTATATATATATTTAGTTGAGATGTTTGGTTGTTCAGGAAGTTTAACTGCATGCAAGAACCATCTTCGAGTGATCCAGGATTATGGCGACTAAAGTGTACACCGTCAGTGCTTGGTTGGACAGTAGAACCGGTCAGCTCTTTCTCTCTTTCTTTCTTGTCTCGCGCGGCTTTAAGCATTAACAACAGCACTCTCGGCCTCCACTCGCATTGGCGTAGAGGTCGGTTATTATCGAAGCGTGGGTGCCTTTAGAGTGCCCTTCAACGCTCGTCAACAAGGAGAAAATATGTTGAGGAGGAAAAGAATGATAATAACATTCGCGTGATTCTCCAGAGAGTATAAAGAGACGATGACGCTCTTGTCTCGAAGAATAAAGTATTTATATACGATTTATATATATATATACATATATATATATATATATCTTGATATCATACAAATTTCATAGTGACATACATGGATCGATTGTTGATCATTGACAATAAATTTGCAGGGTTGTACAGTTGTCATATAAAATGTTAAAAAAAAAAAATAATATTCATAAGAATGGCATTCAAGAATGAATTTAAATGTCTAAGTAGTGTGTAAGAAGGTGGAATAAAAGCCCGTATGTATATTATTCTTTTGAAACCCTTTTATTATCTTGAATGCAGCTTCTGAATAAAGAAATGACAATAAGCCTGCAGATAGCTTCGCGGTCAACGCATTTATTTCATCTTGATTTTATTACGTCTTTGTGGGTGCGACGAATGAAGGTAAAAGAGGATATGACGAGTGAAGAGGTGGAAAAAATACTTTAAGTATATTTTTCGATGATGTGATGATTCTCGAAACTCACAGGCTTGGTGTCAATGAACTTGATGTGGTTTCGCGCACGCTTCCATGAGCTAGGGCGGAGAATAACTTGTAATGTATGAATATGGATAGATGATGTTGTATTTATGAATGCCGGTGAATCACGGAAGCGCTGGCTTTCATGCTTCAAGTGAGAATCATCTTGTTGGATTTGTTGTAACCATATCGCTTTGCAATATTTCGCTAGGATGGGTGATGACGCATTTTACATTCAGGAAAGGAATTACGGATGGATAATCACTACTATCAGGTTTACAAGTATAGATCCTTGGCCTTCAACAAGTATCATTTTGTATTAGAAAAATTTTTACAGCAACAAGTTTTTACTTAAATTACTAGGTAATGTTCTTTTAATTACTCTTTTGACCAATAAAATATTCTAATAATTTTCTTCAGAAATAAATTATTTGCAAACCATCAAACTGCCTCATAAATGATCTCTCTGATAAATATCATTTAAAATTCAAATGAAAGTGTTGATAGAGTTATTTATTTATGTATAATATAAATATTTATTATATTATTTAATTTACAATTATTTAAAATAATTAATAATAAATTGTCCAGTAATTAATAAAATAATGAAAAAATGTTTTTCAGCAATCAATTCAAATTTATTGCCAGCAATAAAAATTATTATTTATGTTATAATGAATAACATAATATTATTAATAAATTCACTGACATAAAGACAGTAATAAATAGTAAATAGTTATTTATTAATTTATAGTGATCAACATTTATTTCTACACACGTGAATACAAAGATCTGTTAATCGTTACTGGATGCTTTTTGTGGTTGATATTTCTAAATGATGATGTTGATGATGACAGTTTATAGCTAAAATAAATATCTTCCTTGGAGATTTTATTAAATCTATTACGGATATTTTCTTGTATCTGTTATTTGCAATTAGTAAAAATAATAAAGCCAAGTTAATTATCTTTAAACTCGGCTACTGTTTATGATAAACTCTATTATTATTCTTCAAGGCTGGGCAATAAGCGCATACCTCAAACTGCCAATCAAAGTGTCAACGCTATCTTTCACTATATATGGTATGGGCATGTATGTATATTGTGTGTGTTTCAAGTTTATTCTTAAGCCCAGAGGCGTCGAGATAGTCTCATCTCTCATCCTTGCTTGGGTCCAAACGTTCATGTCTGAATATTCTTCTGTATGTACATATTATTATACGGATACATGCATGGCATACCTTAAGGTTTTTATTAAGAAACCCTACTTTTGTTCCTTTTCATTTCATTTTTCTCTTTTATTTTTACGCATATGAACGCTACACATTCATGCTTTCCTTCATCCAGGCCGTAGGGTTCGCACATTAATTGAATAATTTGCATCCCACCTGCCGACTTCCGGCAGCTAGCAGGTCACCTCTGTTGCCACAGACCCGCTGATGCTCTCAGGAAGTTTCTAATCGCGTACCCGGTCGAATAAACAGCCAATAGGCGCAACGTTTTGTGCCAGAGTGCATAAGAAAAAAAATTCTTCAACTTAAGAATAAATTTGTTAATTTAAATTTTATCTATTTGATGAAAATTCCTATCTTTACACCGGCTTATGAGATTCTACCTTCGAACGGTTGTTTCGATTTTTATATTATATGCGTGCTCTTATCTTGAGGTACGTGAAAAAATTGACGCTTTTTATTGAGGTATATTTTTTTATAGTGGAGGATACTTGTTTAATTGTTTTTTATTTCAGTGAATATGTCTTTAAAAGTCTTTAAAGTGATTAGCAACCAATGAATGAACAAAATTAATTTAGTATTCAACGGCAGTTGCATAAAATGAAATTTTCGTCATATCTGCGCAGAAAGTTTACTTTTCCATTAGAGAAGAGTAGAACTTTCCACACAGATGTGACGAAAATTCATATTTAGCCCTAGAAAGAACAATTAGTCTATCCTAAACCACATGTAAAATTACAAACCGAGCCGAAGGGGAGGATGGTAAACACAGGGTTTAAGTTAGTCTACTTTTCTTCCCTAGGTGTGAAACGTACTATTATTTTTAGCTTTAATTGAATAAATCATTTTCAATAGGTGAAAAATAATTACAATTAAAAATACTTAAATCATTTGAATTGAGATTCTTTAGAAATAAAAATTTTTATTGGGGAATAAATTCAATACTTTTTCCTAAGAATGATTGTCTCAAGTTCATAGATATCGCTGTAAGCTTCTTGTAATCCGATCAATTTAAAGAAAAAAATTTTATGCCAATAAAAAATATATAATTTTTATTTAAGATTACAAAAAATTATTGAAAAAAATTAAGAGTACTTATAAAACTTAGAAGCTTATATTGTAAATCTTCAAATCTTCTTTAAAAGATAATCGGTGATTTCGAAAAATAATTTTTAACTTTTTTCAGTGAAGAAATAAGAAAAATAAAGGTACCTAGAAATGTCTCTTTATCTATCCTCAGTAACTCATAGGAGATTTTAAACATTCATTAAGTACAGGGAATTTCTGCAGTAATGAAGATGGAGATAAAAAAAAGATAGAGTAATGCTCGACATTCCGCTTCGTCGACCAGATGTCATTGACGACCTCCCAGTGGTTAGAACACGAAAAAAAGTAGAATAAACAAAAAAAAGGCAAAAGCATAAAGGAGCTCTGTACACTTAATTCACTATGGTGTTAGTTTCAAGTGAACAAGGCCAACACCTGAGAAACATCTGCCTGGAAGAAATAATGCTCAAGTTATTAAAAAATACAAGCAATTGCTCCATCATCTATGAAATATTTTTCACATGTATTCATTCACGTTGAAACGGAATAAATTTATATACTGTTTTGAATGGTCAAATGACAGTGGTCTAGTGAAAGATTATGGAGTTATCGACATTGAATATCAGCAATTAATTAGTTATTGCCTTCGTTCTTATAATCGCGACAATGAACTTGCAAAAAGACCGCTCAGCTCGACAGGTGCATGGTGAACACTCCCTCTTCACGGCCTTGAAGGCATCAAGCTACCTCTGTTAGCTCGAGCAGAACAATATAATTAATGGTTTATATATATAAGTAACAACCATTGAGTTACTTTTATAAATAAATAATTTTTTCATCGTCTTCATTTTATTCAGTTGGCTTATTTTTATTTATACTGTATAAACTTTATTTTGAAATATAGTGGATATTTATGCAATTAATCACGATGATGGATGTAAAAGATTTAAAAATATTTTTGCAATTTACTTATTTGTTACAAGAATGATAATAATGTATCCACATATTAAATAAATACTTGGAAATATTTGTTCTCAAAAGGAATTGATTGACTGATAGATAATAATTATTTACATTCACTATTTTCATAATATTTGTTTAAAACATCTGTGATGAATTTAATAAATTCACATAAAATTTTCTATTGATAATAATTTAGATAATATTCTTTTGATGATAGTAAATAATAAACCATTACTTTTATTAGTTATTGAAGAGAGTATTTTAAGTTTAATAAATAAAATAGGAAATTATTATTCCAGACGGACAATTTTAAAGTAAAAATCTTTAAAATCATATACATTCCAGACTGTCAATTGGGTGTGACATTTAAAATA